AGGAGCTGTGCATCACGGGGGGCGGGGCTGGGGACTCAGTGGGCGGGGCTGTGCACTAAGAGGCAGAGCTCCAGGAGTGGGGCGGCTGGGGGACAAGGGGTGGAGCTTACACTATGGGGTGGAGCTATGCACCAGGAGGCAAAACTCTGGGAGGCAGGGGTGTGGTTTGCACCAGGAGATTGGGCTTGGGGAGCAAGGAGTGGGGTTGTGTAACTGGTGGGCAGGGAAGGGGCTCCTGAGGCTGGATGCCCACTTAGCCTGAATTTCTGATCTGTGACTTCATTTGAGGTCACAGTGATGCGAGAGTCTGTTAAGCTTGAGGTACTGCAGGGTGATCTGTAAAACCCAGGTCTTGGCAACCCTTAGCTGGTAAAGATCCCTAGACATTTATTGCTAACACCACAGTGTGAATGCCTCCCCATAGCCCAAAACAGGAAACTATCTTCTTCCTCCCTCATTTCCTATTGCTGTTTTTAGCTGGGTGTGGTATTTCTCACTTCCTGTCCTAAAACCACAGGGCAGTGTTTGTGTGGCTACCGACCAACCACCACATCCTATTCTCTCTCTCTCTCTCTCGATATAATTGAATTATGCTGCTAATTCTCACTAGTGGTGTGTTTTACAGTAGTTGGTATTTTTATGTAAGTCCCAACTCCTGGATTCGTGTGAATAAGTGAGAATTCCAGCAGTCATTTAATGTTTTTAAAAAAGGTTCACAGCTCCTCCTGGGTGCAGAGAAGTGCTTGGAAATGTGACCTATGAGGACAGTAGGTGGAAATTCAAAAGCAAGAAAGCAAATAAAAAGAATCTCACACTCCTTATTTCTACATGATCATATTTTTAAGCCATTCTCATAATATTTGAATGCTTGGGGTTGGCAGTAGCGTATGACTGCTGCTATTCACTTGTTTTGTGGGAGTACTTTGGAAGCTTGGACAAAAATCAGGTGCCTGTCGTACATGCTGTAAAGACAAGTAACAAAACAGTGCCAGAGAACTTAGAATCCCGGTGACACAGAGGATGCAGAATTTGGACAAAACACACACAAGGAAGATTAAAAACAGCCATAGTCGGGTCAGACCAATGGTCCACGTCGCTTAGTATCTTGCCTTTGACCGTGGCCAGTGCTGGAGATTCAGGAGGAATGTACAGAAAAGGGCATTTATAGAGTGATTCACTCCTAGCTTCTGGCAGTTAGAGGGTTAGGGTTTCCCAGACCGTGGGTTTGTGTCCCTGACCAGCATTGATAGACCTACCCTGCATGATTTCTCTAATTGTTTATTGAATCCAGTTATACTTTCAGCCTTCACAACTTCCCTTGGCAATGAGTTCCACAGGTAGATACTACATTTTGTGTGTACTTCCTTTTGTTTGTTTTCTACCTGCTGCCTAATAGAAGGGGTATCGGTGATCAGAAGGCTGAGGTAGGGTTTATACAAGGATTTTTAAAGAGGCTAAGGAGACAGATTAGAGTCATTCCAACAATAGGACAGCTCTGGGCGGCCACCCCAGGTCCAGAGTTTTTGTTGGCCCCATAGCAATTGCCCCAACCATCCTATGGATGGGAGAGACCCGGAGGATGACTGGGGGGCCTGGCGGGAAGGCAGCAGGGGACGATTCCATCCCCTCACTCACCATGGCGACAGCTCTGCTCTGCTCCGCTCCGCCACCTTCTCCCGACCGTTGCATTTGACTTCTCAGCGGTGGCAGAAAGCAGAGCACCTGGCTCCTGAGCACTCTGGAGCAGCGGGCTGGGAGGGCGGCACGGAGCAGGTTGCCAGGCCGCTCCAGCTCCTGCTGCGTGAAGAAGGGATCAGCCCCTGCGGCTGCCATGCCCCCATAATTCTTCCGTCTGTGTTACTTGGGGGAGGAGACAGAGCAGGGGTAGGGCCTGCAGTGGTGGTGGTGGTGGGGTTGCCCTGCAGGCAGGTTATAAGGCCTATATCACCTGAGTATCTGAGCATCTCGGGGTGACTGTATTTCATTGGTGGGTGAAATGATTCCTGAGTATATCAATGGGGGTGAATTAGGAATGTGAGCAACTAGTTAAGTAGTCAACTATCCAATAAACAAATGCTTATTGGATAGACAACACACTAGTCGACTAGTCATTTTCCCCCCCTCCCTCCTTGCTGCCTCTATCGAAAAGAGGCAGCAAGCGGGGGCGGGCGGGAGGAGGGGAGTAAGAGGAAGGGGCACTTCAAAGCGGCAGTGCCTCTTGGAGCCAGGGGCCAGTTGGGGAGTCCCCAGCTGACCCCAGGCTTCATGTGGTGCTTCCGCTTTGAAATGCTACAGGGAGCATGGGGCCAGTGGCCCCATGCTCCCCTCAGCGCTTTCGCCTTTGAAGTGGAACAACAATCCCAGGGCGCCCTTATCAACTAATCGAATCGTCAATGCAAATCACATCGACGATTCAATTAGTCAGTTAATCAAAATGTAAAGTCCCTAGGATGAATATGAGGAGACCACTCATGGTGACCAATATTGTATTTTTTGCTCCTCTATCAGTCTATAGCCACGTCTTGTCTTATAGTTAGATTGTAAGCACTTTGGGGGCAGGCTCTTGTTTTGTTTGTCCAGCACCATGGGGGTCCTAGCCTAATTGTATTGCTGTACAATTAATAAGTCATTATCGTTATTTTAAAACGGGAAGGGGGCTGACGGATTCTAGAATCTCAATTTTGTGCCATCAAAAAGGAAATTTAAATCTGTATTCCACTGACAGGTGTAAATAGAGCATCTTGTAAAAAAAAAGTGGTATCAATTCCTTCCAGTATTTTAAGCCTGTGGCTAGAGGTTTCTTCTCATCACAGCCTCCATACCCTACTGGAAGATGCCAGTATTAATGCTGTATAAGCACCTTGGGTCCAGTCAGCCTGCCTTTTAAATCAGCAGTAAAACTGCCATGATGCATTAGGACCAGAATCAGGCCTATTGTGCTCTGATGGATATCATGGTCTTACATTTTCAAGTGTAAGATTAATCATTTTTATGGGAAGACTGCTGAGGACGGTACTTGTATCTTCTGTTTTTCCTTTTCCCAGGTGAACTACAGTGAAGTTGTACACCATGGCAATGGCATTAAGGTGCCTCCGTCAGCTGCCTCCCTTGCTTCATAATTCTCTCTCAGGACTCACCAGGCCATCCCTAGAGGTACCTTTGAGGTATACGGCCTTGATCCTGAATGACTGCAGGCAGTGTGTGATCCACCAGACAATGTTCACTAGACATCTCGCTACCAAGAAAGCCAAAGGTAAAGAAAGAAGCCTCTTGACTAGAATTTGCTACCCCGGATTGTGTCTCCCTAATTTGCTGGAAGCAGGTTTTATGTCGTGATGTCGTTTACCTTTTAATGAACATTTCCATTCCACCTCTTCTTCTCCGGAAGCCCCTTTATTATGGCGAACTCAAGGTTTTATTTTCTTCTAAACTTGCCAATAGTTTTAGTTCTTGCACAGCTGAAATGTAATTAAAAAACAGTCACTGAGCACTTCTGTTGCCATGAATGGGATTATTTGCATGAGGAAGGCCATTAGTCCCTGCTCCTGAAAGGACTCCCACAAGAATGTACATCTTTGCAGGATCAGGGCATGAATCTTCATGTGCTACATTGGAATTAGCGTTGCAAAATGCACAGCGTGATACGCAGCTACATTTGGGATCATGGGAATTTACTGTCTTAAAATATATACATTTCAGTTCACGCTAAACTCCTGTTACTAATCTGAAAGTTGTTGCAATGGCTGCTTTTTGTTTTCTAATGTGACTGCTCAGTAAAAGACTGTGGCGTTGTGAGTGGTACAGAAATTAATTGTGTGTGCAATTTGCAGCTAAAGGTAAAGGGCAGAACCAAGCCAGAGTGAATATCAATGCTGCCTTAGTTGAAGATATTATCAGTCTAGAGGAGGTAAATTGTGAAATGCAGGCAGTGATCGAAACTCTTAAGGAAGATTTCAGCAAAAATCTCAATATAAGAACCTCACCAGGTCAGTAACTTGCTTGTATAATTCTCTACTGTCTATAAAAAAAAAAACCCACTGAGCCTTTGCAGCCCAGATCTGTGTCTTTAATTTTCTGTAAATTGATTTTCGTTTTATTGAGTTACTCACTGGGCACCCAATTACAGCAACCCTGAAATCCCCAACTAAAGACTTTCTTCACCCTGAGCTTGACCAGGAAGAATCCATTTTTGTTAATAACTTCCTGAAAATGGCTTTTGTAAGTGGGAGATGTCAAAAATGTCTAACGGAACTGTTTGCAGATGTGATGAAGAAGCAAGTTGTCAGCTAATGGTGCAGTAGGGCAGGAAAAATCCAATTGCCATTAAATTAGCCTTTTGGAAATTGCCATCGGGCTGGTGTCTGGCATATGCAGACTTCTTCTGCAATGCATATTTGTGGTTAGTAACCTTTACAGACCCTATTCACTTAGTGAATTCTGTGTTCATAAAGAAACGTGAACATATTTGACCAAGCTACAGTTACTCCAGCACACTGAAGACATGCATTTGTAAGACGTATCCAGTTTCAGGGAGAAAACTTAACATTAAACAATGGCCAAATATGGATCATTCACCACCCCCAACTTAGTCTCTAATGGAGTTAGAATGTGCAGTGCAATTGCTTAACTATTTACTTTAAGCTCGGGTTTTTTTTCCTTTCAATTATACTGATAAAGTGCCCCATCTCCCTTGTGCTTTCTGGCCTGTTAACATTTTGCAGCAGAAACTAGAAAGCAGATTAAGGAGATCTTGGAGTGAAATAAAATACTTTAAATTAGACAATGAACTGCACCTCCTGTGGGGACTTAGTAGAGGAATGCTGCCAGCTTAAAAATCATATAAATCTTCTTTGTGTGTGTTATAACAGCTTAGATCATTTATATTGCATGAATTTTAAATAGTTAATTTCCTCTTTACTATTTATATTCTTTGTTTACCTTTTCCATTCTGGCAATGAAAACAAACTAGTCAGTTTCACTTGCTGGTTTTCATGCACTAGCATAATCCTGCCAAGTTTGGATGGCAAAGCCACAGGGGGTTGTATAAATACAAACAACAGGACTGTTTGTTCTGCAAGGGAAGAACAGACATTAAAAATATATTGTCTGTATTTTGCATAACATGAAGAGGTAGGAGTTGGAATGCATATTGTAATTGCAATGCTGTTCAGTTGTTTTAAACATTGTTATTTTGGATTATTTTAAGGGGCTCTTGATCATATAACGGTGACAACAAACGATGGAAAGTTTCCATTAAACCAGCTTGGACAAATCTCGCTGAAATCTCCTCAGCTCATTATTATAAATATGGCTAGTTTTCCAGAGGTAAGTGGACATAATTGAAAGGATATGAAGGTCCAAATGCCAGGAAAAGGGGATTGAGCAATTGAGAAGCATAAGTATTGTATCTCCAAAACCAAAAGGAATATAATTACTGTAGGAATAATGGAATGAAACTGAGCAAAGGAAAAATTTAGACTAAATGGGGCAAATTCCACTCCAGTGGAACTAAAACAATTCTTATTGACGTCTTACCTCTGTGTCACTTCCTGATCTTACAGTAACAGAACTCCGAGGGGTTGCTGTGTTAGTTGGAATCTGCAAAAAAACAAAGAGCCCTGTGGCACCTTAAAGACTAACAGGTTTATTTAGGCATAAACTATAAGTTTTTACCCACAAAAGCTTATGCCCAAATAAATGTTAGTCTTTAAGGTGCCACAGGGCTCCTTGTAGTATAAGGACTGGATGTTTCACTACTGAATGTACATGTTGACTTTCCTGTGCTGTCCTGTGTTTTGGGTGCCTCACCTTTGCAGCAGCACTGGAATGTCACCATTGCTAGATGACATACCTACTCCATCAGTATCAGGAGGGAAAACCCTGAGTGAGCCCTTTTAGCCTTGTGGAATAGTCTCCTAGCACTTGAATCATTTAAAACGGGCCTGAATAAAGCTATAGAGAATGTACTATAAAGGGAAATCCTGCTCTGGCAGAATTCTGGCTTGCCATGGCCTGAAACAGGGGTGGGCAAAATATGGCCTATGGGCCAAATGCAGCCTGCCAAACATTTTCCTCCAGCCCTCCATGACCCTCCAGGCCGGGGCTCCCAAAAGTCCGGCAGCCCAGTGGAGCACTTAGATAGATAGGCTGCCTGCTTGCTGGGGTCCCAGCCCTCCCACTCACGGAAGCAGTGCAGCCGGCTGCTGTCGTCAAATGTGCGTCTGCATGCCCTTTGCAATGAGTCTTTACGTTTACCACTCGCCCCAGCACCATCCACCCCACACACAGGTAGCTGGTCCGTGAGGGGAGCTGGTTTTTAAACTGGCTCCCCTTGTGGACCAGCTCCCACCTGGCACCTTGTGCTGCTGCTTCTGAAACAGAGGCAGCAATGTGAAGTGGCAGGGGGCTCCTCAGGCTGCCAGCCCCACCCCCGGGGACTATAGACTAGTCGAGTAAATGAAAAGAATTCATGAGGTTAATCGACTATTAAATTTACCGATATTTAACATCCCTAGTGGAAACAGACCCTTCCCCTCTCGAGCCAAGCCCCATTTGCCTTAGTCATGGGCAATGTTCCGAAAAACCGATTAGATGTTCTGTGAGATGGTTGTTTTTCTAACAGGAGTAGTTCATTTGCTGGAACAGGGTGGGGGTAAAGTTGTATTTTTCTCCTTCCTTTGTCTCAGCCAATGTATATGTTAAACAATATTGCTTCAGCTGAGCATTTCCTTCCCAAAGCCCAGACACCGGTCTGTCACATCACGTGTCTATGGCTTTAAAATGCTGAACTGATTTACTACTTTGGGTTTTCTCTGTTCTCAATGTTTTTAGCTTTTTTTTTTTTTTTTTACTTTTAAGTCCTCTTAAATGCTAGTGATTTACGCCATATTTGTATGCAAATGCAACACAGCTTCAAGGGGTGCCTTGATTGATAAATGATACACACTGTAACGTGGCCTTAGTGTTTGACTGTATGATCAGAAATCCCTGAACAATGGAACCCAACAAAAATCCAGTGTGGGATTGATCCAGGTTGCATTCAAACAGAATGCTTGTCATTCCTGACTACGAGACACACTCTTTGCATCCTTCCCCTAAAGCATCAGCTCTCCAAGTGCTGTACAGGCTGGATCTCCCAAAACCAAGACTCCTTCATCTGGCAACATTTGTGGTCCAACAGGGGGCTGCAGCAGCGCCAGCAGCAGAGCCGGGGACGAGGCAGCTGCGACAGCCCTGGTAGCGGGGCTGGACCGGGGTGCAGCAGCCCCTATAGCAGGGCTGGGGCCGGGACTGCAGCAGCATGGCAACCTGGCAGGAGGGCAGCTGGGGACGGCAGTCCAGAGGGAAGGATGCCTGGGGAGCCCGTGACAGGGGACCTCCTCTGGTCTGGCAAATTCCCTCGTTCAGAACCGGTCAGATCCCAAGGGTACCAGACCAGAGAGGTCCAACACGTACTAAGAAGAACCAGTGATGCCACACCACATCTTATGGGCTAGAGAGGGTTGCAACCAAACCTTGCGTTTGGAAGGGATAAGTTGTGTTAAAGAGGCAGGTTTGTCTTTCATGGCTCCTAGGGAGATAAAACGAAGCAAAAGGCGAATGCGTTTGAGAAGAACTCACACAGAAAGGGATCTGCGATCTGATGAGGCTGTGCAGCTCCCTTTAACATTTCAGGGGGGTCCCTCACGAAGTTCTCGGACAGGTGAATTTTAAAACGGGAGACGGCTGTTGCATCTCAGGTTCAAAGCCCTGATTCAGCAGAGCAGTAAGCAGGTACTTAGCTTCCAGCACCCGAGTGGCTGTTCTCAGTGGTTTTCTTTCATGTTCTTTTTTCTTCACTTTATTCTGCATTTAATACACATCCCAGATAGATGCTGCAAAACACCACCAACAGGTCCATAATGCCTAAGTACACCACTGACTCAGGGTCTAAATGGACTGTCAAGCCATGTGGGCCAAATTCATCGCTGGTGTTGAACCGTTGAGGACAACTGGAGTCACCTTCAGGAGCCCAGTTCCTTTAGTCAACAGAATAACTCTGTTCTTGTCTGTACTCCATTCCTATGTCACATGGAAGCTGTTGGGTTGGTTTGGACACTTTGCTGTGACCACGCATACCTGTTGTATCGGTACTTTGCCATCCACGCAGTACTGGAAAGTTGCCAGGGCCACAGGAAGCTGTAAAAAGTTAAACATAAATGATGAGACACTTAAAAAATACAACAGAGCCTGGTTGTAAAAGCCCTGCCTGCATTCCCCAGCCACCAACAAACGTCTGGATTTCACCCAGCGTGAGTGTAGTGCCGCATGAGTTAAATTAGTAACTTTTTTAAATTGGCACAATGCGATTTCTCGTGTAAAACATTCAACAGGAATTTTTAAAGGCCGAGAATCTTTCATCTCCCTTTCCCCCCATACAGGCTCTCCCATGGGGATTCATTGTGGTTTTGCTCTGCATTGCCTCAAACCATTCAAATAGTTTCAAAGAAGTAAAATTGTTTTCTTTTGTTGTTGCTTTCTCCCCCCTCGCCACCCCTATTACCCTGGTACCAAGAATGGGTGTAGTTTGCAATTCCATTTGATCAAAGCACTCTGCACCAATGTAACTTCCTGATCGTACTGGTAACAGAACTAAATGTTTCCATGTTCTGGTGAGATGGATTGCCAGCTATCGACAGAGTCCTGGCATCTGGTAATAATTATTTACTAATTCCCTTTACCTTTTGATCTGGTTTACAGAGTACAGCTGCAGCTATCAAGGCTATAAGGGAGAGTGGAATGAACCTGAACCCGGAAGTAGATGGGATAATAATTCGGGTGCCAGTTCCTAAGTAAGTAATTATAATGACTGTCTGTCTAGATTCATGGTTATATGAGATGATGTAATGGGCTGCAGTGGATTTCCATTTGTGATCCTGGTTGCATGGACTCCGGGGGCTAAGCGTGCATGGTTACTGTAAGGGCTTGACACAGTCGCTTTCCGTACGGTTACATCTGGGGTTTAGAAACCCAAGCCTGTAAGAAATATCTGATGGAACCTCTTCCAAGTGTCAAGCCAGAGATTCCTGCAAATTCTCCAGCCTCGCAGGATCCATTCTTTTGATACACGGGGCTCTGCTTCACTGGGTTTTTTTTACCAGTTTCCCACTGTGCAGAAGGGAGCTGGACAGTGGGTGGCCGCCAGGGGTGAAAGTAACTTAAATTTCTCACAGATACTATCGTCTGGCCCCCCCAGGGGCTCAGGGCAGGGGTCTGCAATATGACAGCGCTAGTACGAAATGTAAGTGTGGGGGGCTCAGGACAGGGATGGGTAATGGGGGGTGCAGAAGTCTGGGCAGCAGTTCGGGGGTGTGGGGCTCTCAGGGCAGGGGGCCAAGAGTGGGAGAGGGTGCAGGCATCAAGGTTGGGGTATGAGGAAGGGCTCAGGGCACAGGGTTGGGGTGTGTGTGGAGCAGTGCAGGAGTCAGGGTTGGGGAAATGTGGGGGGTGCAGGCGTCAGAACTGGGAGTGTGTGGGGCTCAGGGAAGGGGGTGGGAGGTGCAGGAATCAGGGCAGAGAGTTGGGGTGTGGGTGCAGGAGTCTGGGTAAGGGGCTGGGAATGTGAAGGGCTCTGGGCTGGGGTCGGGAGTGGGCGGGGACAGGGGCACCATTTGCAGGGGGGGGCTGATGCCTTCCCACACCCCAAGATTGGTATCAGGAGGCTGCTTACTCTTCCCCTTCCCAGGACTGTCAGGGAGCGAGGGGAAAGTCCCCAGCGTGGATCGCTCGATCCTCTGACCCTGCCTTGGGCAGCCAGGAGGGAGAGGAACACAGGCACCCAGTGCCCTTTCCCCTTGCTCCCTGGCAGCGAGGCTGGGAACAGCAAGCCACTTCCCGGTACGAATCTGGGTGGGGGGAGCTTTATCCCTCCCCCCCGCCAAAGGGTGGCCTGGGAAGGCTTGGGGCTGGGTCAGTCCCAGACGGATGCGGGGCATGTTTCCAGCCGCCTGCTGCTTAGCCTTCCTAGACACAACCCCACCTCCTCCTGTAGCGGTGCCTCCTTGCAGGAGCGGCCGACGGGGGCACACCGCCTTGCTTTCACCTCTGGGGGCTGCAGCATTTAGCAAGGCATCAGAGGCGATGGGCAGGCACCCACACGTTGAACTTTCCTAAGAGAGCTGATTTGAATGCCCTGTTCCAGGCCTGATTCGCTGCAGCCTTACTGTAAATAATCGGAGTTACACCAGTGTCTAACCACATGGATGCAGTGATGAATCACCACCGTGGAGATGAACCATCACCCCGCTGCTGAGGGAGCAGCAGGGGGGAATGACGGCCAAAGAGGCCGAGAGGGAACCTGTAACGATCAACATCTTTCACTTTTCCCAGGAAACTGCTATATGTTATTGCTGTGCAGCTGTTACACAGCCATCGAGTTCTGCCCCAGAGGCAGCTGCATTACAGTGGTGGCTGACGCACTTCCTGTGTTTATAGTAGTGCAAATCCAGAGTAACGCCGTTAACTTCCAGACACAAACCAACGTACTGGCATGCAGAATGCCTCTCCATTGTGAACCTGAGATGAATTACGGCAGGGGTGGTCAAGAGGCAGCCTTGCTGGCACCCTTACTACAGAGCAGCTCACCCTGTTTTAATTAGCTGGCTGCTGATTGCTCTGCAAGCTGGGGAGGAAGAGGAGAAGTTGGGTACTATCCCCGCCCCCAACAAAATCCTTCAGCTCCCATTGGCCAGTTTCTGGCCAATAGGAGCTGAGAAATGTTGCTGGCAGCAGAAGCAGAGAGAAGCCTCTTTCCTCCTCCCTGTGCTGGAGCCGAGCCACATGGAGCAGCCCTCCCAGCAGATAGGCAGAGAGCCTGTCTCAGGTTCCTGCTGGGCTGCTGGTTGGAAGCCACCTAACGAAGCGCCTTCCAGCCAGAGCCTGCCTCTGGCACCCCACTCCTCCCCCCCTCCAAACTACCTGCCCAAAGTCCCCAGCCCCTCCTGCCCCAGGTCACCACCCAAACCCTCTATATCCCCTCTCGCCACCTCCCTCCCAGACCCCACACACCCTCCATAGAAATGTGGCTCTTGACTGCTTATCAAAATCTTGACATGGCCCCCCAATTACAAATTATTGCACCCCCCCTTCCCGAATTAGGGCATGATCCAGCTCCTGTTGAAGTCAACAGTGAGAGAAGAGCTGATGCTGGGCGGGGTGGACATTAGTATATTTTACAGCCTCAGCCCCTCTCAGGAGGCTTTGAAGATTAGCGACGTCTCTGTTTATTGGTGGTTTAATTCTGCAGAATACATCAGACAACATTTCAATAGGCCAATCAGAGTATTCATTTATTTTTATTCATTCTGACATCCACAAAATGCTTATCCACAGATCCAGACACATGAGCTACGTCTAGACTGGCATGATTTTCCGAAAATGCTTTTAACGGAAAAGTTTTCCGTTAAAAGCATTTTCGGAAAAGAGCGTCTAGATTGGCAGGATGCTTTTCCGCAAAAGCACTTTTTGCAGAAAAGCGTCCGTGGCCAATCTAGACGCGGTTTTCCGCCAGAAAGCCCCGATTGCCATTTTCGCAATCGGGGCTTTTTTGCGGAAAACAGTATTGTGCTGTTTACACTGGCCCTCTTGCACAAATGATTTGCGCAAGAGGGCTTTTGCCCGAACGGGAGCAGCACAGTATTTCTGCAAGAACACTGATGATCTTACATGAGATTGTCAGTGTTCTTGCGGAAATTCAAAACGGCCAGTCTAGACACAGCCATGGTGAGGGCACTAACCTAGTACTTAGGAGATCCAGGCTCAAATCTCTACTCTGCCACAAACTTCCCTTGACCAGAGGCAAATCCCTTAGCCTCTCTGTGTCCTAGCTGCAGTATTGCTATGCAGCTGTTACACAGCCATCGAGCTCTACCCCAGAGGCAGCTGCATTATGGTGGTGGCTGAATAGGGATAACAGCCCTGTCCTGCCTCTCAAGAGCGCACTGAGTGTTATTAAATATATGAGACACCACTGCCCTATAGTCAGGGCTTGACAAATGGTGGTGAACTCTACTTGTCAGCCCTGCACTGTGCATGCGCAAGACCCGCATTGCACATGCATGCCCCGCCGGTGAAATCTCGCTGCCACGGGCGAGTAGAAACAGCGATTTGTCAAGCCCTGCCTATAGTAATGGGGGCCATATCCATGCTTCAGATAGATAGAAACCTGGCAGAATTGACAATTGACATCCCAGGCCCTGTGAATTAGGGCACACATCTCTGAGAACGGTCTGGAATACTGGTGTAAGGGCCCTGGTGGATTCTTACCATATATTTACAAGTAGGTGACTTTGGCTAAGAATAGACAAACTCGAGTTTGGTTGTGTGACAGATCTGCTTAAAGAAATGACATTGTGTGTCAAGCATCGCAATCAGAGAAATCTCGAATTGCTGCTCTCTGTTGCTTTCAGGAAAGCAGAGTGGAATTTTCATTCCATTTGCTGGTTCTCTGTCTTGCGTATGCTCTCTCCCCTTCCCCCTAAGAAGGGGCAGGATAGAAGTGGAGAGCACTATTATCTTCATAATTGCCTAGGATCTTGGGTTGCTACATAGTAGTTTGATTGTTAATGGGCACTCGGGGCACCCTTGAATATGAATTACAGGGGAGGAGGAATCCATAAATAGATAAATCCTTTAACAAAAATTTGTTGTTAAACAAGTGTGTATGTCCGGTCACTTTTTTTTCATGGCGCTACAGATGAGGTATGCATTGCAGTGATGTTGCCTGTTCATCTATATTGTCAGCGCTAGGAAATCTGTCCCACGGATTTCATTGTCCCCTCTGGGATATCTGTTCATTCTTTGTTTCACTTTTCCTGGGTGTTTGGCAAGTCAGGGAGTCCCAGCTTAAAACAACATTGTCTTTCTTTAGCAGTCCCAGTTCTAACTGAGGACATATGACCAGCAGGTCTCCTGCACTAGTTCACATTTATCTCCATTTCCCACTTGTTCATTTGTAAGAAGACTAGATATTAACAGGTTCAACTAGCCTTTAAAAAGGGATGCTAACTTGATTAGTTTCAAACCAATTGCAATTTTTTTTAAACCCAGTGTTTGATAAAAGTGGCTTTTTTTAAATAGTATGTCCTCAATTTTTTTTTGTAGAAATTCTTCTAAGTTTTTAATCCACTTTTCTGCTCCCTGATGGCATTCACAAAAGAAAAACTTACTGACTGCTCAAGAGAAAGTGAAATTGACTATGCAGAAGTGATGTCCACTGTGCATAATGAAAAAGCCTGAAATGTTTTCCATTTATCTTTCTTCAGAAAGAGTTATTTTAGGTATTGTTTGTACCAACGATAAATATAACACTTTCCACACAGAGATGTGAGGGATCAAGTTTGACATTATCCCTTAAAGTGTCATTCTTTAGCTACGAATCATACTTTAAGAAATCTAACTACTCTGCAGTGTCAGTGGTGGTGATAACACAGGTAATTACAGTCCTGACCAAGCAACCAGATACATGTGGGTGTCAGAGATCCAGTTGCAAGGTCACGGCCTGCAATTATTATAGCATAACGTTTTCACAATCTAATTGGCTGTTCTCTATGCTGTTTGTTTTGTTTTTGCATTCCTCTCAGCTTAGACAACTAAAGGAGGCTAGTCAGTTTTATTTTTGTCTACTTTTATTTTCATGTCAATTTCCCTTTTAGGGCCTCTGGCACAAGCCTGCTTCAGTCTGTGTGTTGCAGGGGCGATGTTTATTTGTGTTTTTTAAAAAATGATTCTGTTCCATTTCTTTTTAAAGTCATGAGAAATGTTCTATCAGTTTGATTTCTCAGCCAGATCTGACCGGACATGTTGCCCTTTGCGGCACAGTCTCATGTTCGGAGCCATCTCTTTTTCGCTCTGCTGTGAGAAACTGGATGTTGTTTGTACATTAGTAATATTTTTACACACACTTAACTTTCAAATGACTCACTGGACTGTCAGTTAAGTGCCTCTGCTTTAATTCTTTTTCTTTAAGATGGACCCGCAGTCCTCAGTATGGGGCAGAAGGACTCACAAAATGTCATTTGAACAAACCAAAACAAAGCTGTTTTGGAACCTCGTATTCCAGTTCTTTCATCATCACCCGACTATGTCATTCTCACCTCGTTGTGGGTAATTCATCTTGTACATGAACTTTCAGCATGTATCTCACATCATGCAACTGGAGTATCCAGTTGCACCTAGGTACTTCTTCTTGATCCCTCTCGCCCACAGGAAATTCCTAGCATTTATGCTACAAAACCGTTCTTACCGAGGGAAACGTCTTCCAGGGGAGAGCAGAAGTGGCCTGCATTGTTTTCCCTCTGTCTTTGTGCCTGTGCCTGTGCCTCCCGCTCAGAAGAGAGCATCGAAATGCAGCTGTGGTTGCATAACTGGCTGTGGACTGAAAGAGATGAAGAGGAGGTGTCTCTAGCAAGCTGAGCCCTGCACACTTTGAAAAGTATTGGGTTTAAATTGCCCAGGTTTGGGCCTGGTTTTCTGCTCAGAGCTTGGTGTTGGGCATCACCCCAGCCAGAGCCTGCTGGAGTTCTAAGGGCAGGAAGTGTCTATGCCTCAGCACAGAGCCAGTTCCGTGGGCTGGTGTGAAAGGGAGATGGAGAAAGGGCAAGTGCCTTGATCCTTTTCCCCACTTCTGATTGGATCCCTCGGGCTCCCCTTCCAGCCCATTGCTTTAAAGAGGAGACTGGGACAGCAGTTCTTCCGCCCAGAGCGAAATGTGCACAGATCAGCTGTGACATGGGCAGAGCTGATGGCAGAATCCCCACGTTGAGGGGACGGGTGGCCTTTCCAACCAGCTGCCTCGTATTGATGGATTCCTGAGCAGGAGCCGCGGCTGCCAGAAAGAGAGACATTCTTGTGGCATGATTGGTGGTAGGACCTCAGAATCTACATACAATCTCTGTGGAATGTAAAAGCCACAAAGAAAGCTCTGTGTCACTCCACATTGATACAAAGAAATGGGCATTAATAAAGACAGACGATGAGATGTGTGAGCTGGTGCCAAGAAGCAGAGGAAATCTGGCAGCGCTGCATAAACAAACGTTTCCTTAACTGTTCAGCAGCTCCGAGCAGCCAAATGATACCCTGGGCAGGATCCGCAAAACATTTACACACGTGGGAGGTGAACAGAGTTCATACTGGATCTACCATAAGTCAGGGGCTCCAGACCCCCACACCTCACCATCCAGCAGGGAAGTCAGTGAAGAGAGTCCTGTCGAGATTTCCAGTCCGCAGAGTAGCAGACGGAGATGCTCCCCTGAAAACATGGGGAATCTGACCTCACTTTTGCGACACTAAGCTAGGGGGAGAGGTAGATACGTTGGAGGGCAGGGATAGGGTCCAGAGTGACCTGGACAGATTAGAGGAATGGGCCAAAAGAAATCTGACGAGGTTCAACAAGGACAAGTGCAGAGTCCTGCACTTGGGACGGAAGAATCCCAAGTATTGTTACAGGCTGGGGACCGACTGGCTAAGTAGTAGTTCTGCAGAAAAGGACCTGGGGATTACAGCGGATGAGAAGCTGGATCTGAGTCAACAGTGTGCCCTTGCAGCCAAGAAGGCTAATGGCATATTAGGGTGCAGTAGGGAGCATTGCCAGCAGATCTAGAGAAGTGATTATTCCCCTTTATTAGGCATCAGTGAGGCCACATCTGGTGTACTGCGTCCAATTCTGGGCCCCCACTACAGAAAGGATGTGGATGCATTGGAGAGGATCCAGCAGAGGGCGACCAAAATGACTAGGGGGCTGGAGCACATGACCTATGAGGAGAGGCTCAGGGATTTGGGCTTGTTTAGTCTGCAGAAGTGAAGAGTGAGGGGGGATTTGATGGCAGCCTTTAACTTCCTGAAGGGGGGTTCCAAAGAGAATGGAGAGAGGCTGTTCACAGTAGTGAGGGATGGTGGAACAAGGAGCAATAGTCTCAAGTTACAGTGGGGAGGTCTAGGTGGATATTAGGACAAACTGTTTCCCTGGGAGGGTGGGGAAGCACTGGGACGGGTTCCCTAGGGAGGGGGTGGAATCTCCATCCCTAGAGGTTTTTAAGTCTCTGCTTGACAAAGCCCTGGCTGGGTTGATTTAGTTGGGATTGGTTCTGCTTTGGGCGGGGGGTGGACTTAATGACCCCCTGAAGCCTCTTCCAGCTCTATGGTTCTATGACCCCTATTTCTGAACAATAGCAAAGGAAGTTCTTGGAGGCTGGGGCCATTCATGGCTGTTAGCCAAGATGCTCAGGGATACAGGCCCAGACTTGGAGTGCTCCTAATCCTCCCACCGGACAACAGAGGATGGCTCACTTCATAATTGCGCTGTTCTGTTTGCTCCCTGTGAGGCACTTGGCATTGGCCACTGTTGGCAGACAGGATCCTGGGCTCCGTGGGCCCTGGGCCAGCATGGCCGTTCTTACGAGCAGCCTGTGCTGTTTTGGCACGTGTGGCGCTTTTCATAGGCCACAGGATTGCTGGTTCGTAATTCCCAGGCGAGACGCCCTGAAAGGGTTGGTGTTCTGTTTCACGGTTGCGCACGCCTACGTCAGTGGCTAAGATGCAGGCTCCAGTCTAAGATGACAGATGTTTGCCCTGCATGAAATAAACAGACGACCTCCATCCAGGCCTCTCCAGCACCAAACTGTACGGCCCCAGTGGCCCTTCCTGTGGACAGGTCGCAGCAGAGGAGACAAGATGCCCGTTGCCAGACCGCAGCAGCAGCGCTGTGGTGAGGTGAACACTGCTGCCGCACTGGATGTGCCCTGGACTCCAGTCCGAGTCTGTCAAATCCTGCACTTTTCAGACACTCCTAGTAATAATCGAATCATCAGCTCTGGAAAGTCTGTATTCCCTCCTGCCAACCTGGGGTAGAAGTAAATGAACAAGCGTCTGATTGGCCAAGGCCTCAGCAAACATCTGCCTTGAGCAACGTGGCTGCAAAGGGAAGAACTCCAAGGGAGTGTGACTTATCAGACAGCGAGCAAACTAGGAAAGGGTTCAGCAACCGCTCGGGTAATGAAAGACCCTTTATAATTAACACCCGCAAAGGGGCATAACGAACATTGCTAAGGGGACCCTAACTCCCCACTTCCTGAGTGCCATGCAGCGACCTAGCCCTGTGGCAGTCAATTTCTAAATACTCCTGTGAAATGTTTACTCTGCAATATTTCCTGCTAGCAACAGACATTCTCTTGCTAACGATATGTAGCGCCAGCATCACGGCACTTTGAAAACATTAGCAGAATAATTCATCCTCGTGGTAGGTGCTGTCGGAGCACTGTTTTCCACACAGGGAGAGTGAGGCTAAGTGACTTGACAAAGGCCGCTGACAGTGGCAGCTCCTTTGCCCCATTCTCATGCTCAGGCTCCTCAATGCCACTTTCTAGAGCAGAAAGGAGAGGTGCTATCAGGAGAGTTTTCTGTGCAGTGTTTGACTGCAGTTCCTGACCCACTATGAAGAGTGGGACTTATGAGTGACAAGTCTGGTTTAAGATCCCTGCCTACTAGAGTTGGATACAAACTGAACTAATTATTTTAGAAAATGTTGCAATATGGTCTCTTCTCAACCAGCATGTCAAATACGCACAAGGAGAAATACCAGCCTGGCTCCTGCATGCCAATGACGAAGTGGAAAATGGGGGAACACAGCGATTCCCCCTGTAGTTGGTGTTGCTCCCAGCTATCTTTTGCAGACCGTTCCAGTTGCACGGAGAGGATAAGGGGTTTCCTTCTGCCCCTTCACAGCTTTACAGCAGGATTACACTTTTCAGCTCAGCGGCTCAAGTTTGGGGGTTGATACTCCCTCCTCACTCTCACAGATGCCTTGGCAGCACAAGAAAGAAAAGCCTAAACATTTCAGCATGATTTCCAGGCCCTGCACAGACACGTAACAAGATCTGATCCAAATCCCTAAGCTACTGCGATGCCAATTGCCTTCCACTCCAGCCCTGAGACTTACGTGACTTAGTTTGAAAGGTGTCGGTCCCCAGCGGATTGTACTCTCTCGGCTTGTCAGTTTATCCTGCACACATGCATTGCAGTGAGTAGATCAGCTATGTGCTGTGCCTAATGCCTTTTCCCTTTGCTTCTCCCGGCTTAGGGTAACAAGAGAACACCGGGAAAGCCTGGCCAAACTCGCCAAACAGCTTACGAACAAGGCTAAGGACTCCTTGCGAAAGGTCCGGAGCAACGCCATGAACCACGTGAAGAAGGCCAAGAGCACAGTGTCCGAAGACACCGTTAAGATGATAGAAAAGCAGGTATTTTTTCCCCGTTGGGTGTGTTCCTTGACGATGGGGAAAACACCATCAGGGAGAAGCTAAAGCTGGGCCAGATATGGGTAACAAAGTGGAAATTTCCAGAAACCCGTGTTAGGAGCTGGGTCCAGGGGGCCGTTTTGAGAGGGCAGAGGGGCTACCGCCGTGTGTACCGGGACACGACTTGTTCTTCCTCTCACACTCCGGCAGCGAGATGAAAGTACACAACTTGTCACATACTCCTCCCCTCCCCAGCCCGGAGTGAGGCACATGCCGGCAAGCTGTGTATTGTCCCCTCTCCCTGAGCGTGAGGGGAAGGGGAAGCAGAACAAGCAGCGTCCCGATACACATGGCTGGAGCCCTCCCAAAATGGCACCTTTGCCCTGGCTTTGAGGGGAGCCTGGGGCTGCGGGAAGCATGGCCCCTTTTTAGCGGGTTTCTTTTCTTTAACGAGTCGTAACTGCTGCAAATCGGCGTTTCCACTTTACCGCTGGGAAAACAGACACCAGAGCTAGGGTTAGACATCAGGAGAGCCTGGTCCTGAGACATGCATGCTCAGACCAGTCCGTGTGCACCTGTTACCATGTTGGTGGCAAGACGCATCTGTCGGGGGCAGGGGGAGGAGGGGCGGTTGTTAACAGCTTGTAAAATAACAAGCAGGCCTGTGGCACCTCAGAGACTCACACATTTATTAGCTTTCGTGGGTAAAACCCACTTCATCAGACCTGATAAAGGTCATGGCCTAATAAATGTGTCTCTCCCTGAGGTGCCACAGGCCTGCCCGTTTTTACGGTTACAGACTTGCAGGGCGGCCCCCTCCTGAAGCTTGTGAAATATGTGTCTGATCTTCCACACGCAGTCAGTTGGCTTCTAGTCTTGGTTCCTCCAGGAACAGGCCATTGACTTCAGAGGAGTGACTGGGTTTACACAGGGAGCAGAATTGAGCCGGGGCTTTGTGCTGGGGAGCAGAATTGAGCCGGGGCTTTGTACTGGGAATTGCCCGTGTAACACAGGGCCCTGTGACATTGCTCCAGATCCAGCAAATGGCAGACGACGCTACCACAGAGATGGAGAAGCTCCTGGCAGGGAAGACCAAGGAGCTCCTCAGCTGAGTGAGCGTGGACAGACAGTCACTACGGACGGCAGAGCACCGCCGACCCAACGCTCCGGGCTTGGGCCTAGCAGCCGCGTGCGACAGGCCAGGCGGACTAGCTCAGACCTCACGAGGCTGCAGTTGCTCAGGGGATGGGCCATGGCCGTGGTTGCGGTGGGGGAAGCCAGTCGGCGTCTCCCTGATTCAAGCAGTGACAAAGGAATTCGGATTAAAGAAGCTTCAGCGGAACTGAGGGACACGGGGCGGGGTGGCTCTTAGTCGTCACTCTTCACCATGGCCACAGCAGCTTCTCTGCCACTGGCATTAAAGCACCAATTAGTGAATGTTTGTCCCCCTTGCAGAGCTTTCTTACACCCCCTGCCATGAAATTCCCATTAGGGCCTGTCTACACTAAGCTCCCTTGCTCTGGTGTAACTAGGTCCCTGTTGCGAAGTGGGGTTAGACGGGGCCTAAAAGGCAACCGCAGCAGCAGGGCCATTTGGCCCTCAAGTCGGCAACTCCGCAGGTGTCTCCCCCAAGGGGCTTGGCTGAAATTTGTGCCCTGGCCAGGGACGCAGTGTAGCTTTGGCCCAGTGGGACCAGAGGGCTCAAAAAGCCCAGAGCTGGCGATAGCCTGAGTCCAGTCACGCGGCGCAGAAGGCTGGCCTGGCAGGAGCCTCCTTTCCCAGAAGGCCCGGTGTACCACTCAGTTCTGAAGGCTCTGCCGTCCTTTGGGGGAGCCGGCAGCCCACGCGGACTCAGGGGTGAGAGAGGAAATGGGGAGGGGGCGGCTCTGCACTCCTGGAAGGGGGGGGGCCTTGGGTGCAAAGAGGCAGGGTGGGGCCAGGGCCAACCAGCATGATGTGCTGTCCAGAGCGCGCCACGCCATCCCCCCAGCCCTCCGAACCACACGGAGCGTGCAGCGCGGTGCTTCGGCGGCCATTTAACGAGCCCAGGCCTCTGCTGCATGGTGACAGCCAGGAGCCCTGCATCCCTTTGAATCGCCAGGGCAACGGTCCCCTTTTCTCCCCCTCTGCCGCAGCCTGGACCCCAGCTATCCCTCACCCTCAAGCTGGGCGAAGAAAGGGAAGTGCCGAAGGGGAACTCGCCTGCTCCTGGCCCAGCTGTGCACCAGGCCGTGGTGGTTCAGCTACAATACAATCAGAAAGCAGTGTTCAAAACCAGCCCTGGCCGTTCCCGCTCACTCCAGTCCCTTCCCGTCGCAGGAGGGTTGGCGTAAGGCTCGCTGGCTGCTGGGCACGGGACAGCTCCGCGTGCAGCATGCCAGCCGGGACAGCTCACTGCACGGCCCAAATCTCCATGTGGCTGGACGCGGCCGTGGTGACGGCTGCCAAACCCACGAGCTCGGGGGCTTGTCGTGCTCACTGATAGGCTCGGCTGGTCCTTGGCCCAGAGTGCTCCTGAGCAGAGAGAGGCGTGTGTGTGTGGGGGGGGGGGATTTCTGTTGCCTGGGTTGTAGCAGTTTCCTGAATACAGAGATTTGAAACTCCAGAGCTGTTAATCCAGCAGCTTTGGCCAGCACTAAACTCGCCTGAAGAGAACTTGAAAGCGCAGCGCTAGAAGCCTCCCGAAAAGCCACGTTCTGCGCCCCGCCCCTGGCTGCAGGATTTCCAAAGGAAAGCGTGGCCCCGGTGTGGAGCACAACTTGCGCTAAGCGTCGGGTGCTTTGTAGCAGCCGCCTGCCCCTCATTAGCAGCAGGTACTTCCTAAGAACACAGTTTATCCTCCTAAACAGAGGAAATAGTGAATTATGGAGTAACCCAGCTCCAAAGGGCGTTTGGGTCTGAGTTCTCTGTAGCCTTTAAACAAACAGCCAAGAAAAAAAAGTTATTTTGTGCACAGACCAGGGGGTGGGGGCGGGACTGAAAGATTTTCTAGACTTGGGCCCCACATGTCAACAATTTCTCTGCTTTGTGTATTTTGGCCGAAAGCGTCTCTCATGATAAATGAATAAAGGAAAACGGGAAGCCCAAGGCGGTTCCACGGCTCAGCAAATTGCTTTCAGCTGATTACTTCATTTCTTTTGACATTTATCAAATAGTTTTGGGGTGGGGGTTTTTTTTTTTTTTTTTGCCAGCCACCAAGGTTGCCCCAACAGAAGAGCTCCCCTCAGACCTGCACCGACGTGACTGCGGGGAATGATGAGCATGCTCAGAGCCGTTTTGAGGGGAAGCAGGTGTGGTGGTTTAGCAGGACTTGGGTAACCTACACCTCGACTGGGGGGGTGTGCGCTAACCCATGGAGTGGCACTGACAGAGGAGGAGTTTGCTCAGCAGCTGTAGCTAGGAGCCAGGTGGCTTTTAGCTCAGGCTGAGGAGG